TTGTAAAACTCCTCCGCTATTTTAACTATCCTGTCCATATTGCCTTCTTTGTCCCTTAGTGCATACATCCGATTTTTGCCTATCCCAAGTTTCCTCTTCACTGCTTTGACGCTTCCTCCGTTTTTCAGAGCGTGTTCAATTCTCTCCATGTTATACCTTCTCACATCGGATACCATACGCCTATTAATCAACTTCGATAGCTCTGCCAGTTCTATTTTGTCTGTTGCACTTGAGACTTTCATGATTTGACACTTCTTAATGAGATTCTTTGTTTCCTTGGTAAGCTTGCCAGTGTCCTGTCTAACTACCCTGCCTCCAACTTCCACTGCACACTCCGTAATGATACTCGTCAGATACTCATTCATTGTATCTATGCTAAGGTTGGTTTCCTCATTAAGAGCCGAGTACCTGTTCTGAAGCGAGACTTTGAATTCCTGTACATTCCCTCTCAGTGCTACCTCATTGATTGGCTTCTTGCGTATCAGTTTCTGTCGTTCCTTTCTCAAGTCTAGGCGAATTCGAGACCGTACCATTCTATGGTCACTGCATCGTACCTTGCCAACCACTTCCACATCCTGCATGATGCCTGGGTGTGCACTCATTGTAAAGTCTATTTCGTTCTTATTTTCGCCATTAGGGTTCCTCCATGCCCACTTGCGGTTTTCTCGTTTTCGGTACCCCATATTCGGCCCGAATATGGGGGGACTCGAATGGCCCGAGCTGATTTGTCTTTTTCCGAAGCAGTCGGTGCACGTATGCGGTGCGATTCTCACGAGTGAGAGCGAAAACTCCGTCGGGTGCCAACTGTTGATACTGGGCATGCTGCGTCTTGTCTTCATAGGTCGGCAAGACTTGTGGACCTCCCTCAGACTCACTCACGAGATATACCTTGCGCTGTTGGCTCACTCGGACTCACCGGCATTTTCCCGAGCTGGACTCGCTCGGACTCACGCTCAGTAAAATTTGCTTCACGAGAACATACTCTGGCTCAGACTTACGGCTCTATCTGAGCCTGAGTGAGTCAAAGTAAATCAACTCATGAGTCCATTAGCCTAAATTTAGCTTTTGCTACCATGGTGTCAGTGCTTTTTAACACGAATGTTTCACCTAATTGGTGCTCTTTTTGGCGCCTTTTGGTATAGTGCTTTCAAATACAAGTTATGAGTGCTGGCAAACTCGTGAGGTGATTTTTCTTGACAGAGATGACAGCATAAAATACATTGATCAAGAACTTCTCCGGAAGCAGTTGGCGGGATCAATTTCATAGCTCCCTCCTACGTAACTCACGCCTTCCATCAATAAATATTGACGGGGTGTATAAACGACACTACTTGGAATACATATCAGTACACGTTATATAGAAGTGAATACAGACAAGATCGTAATTCTGAAGGTGAGTAGATAGACTCACTCGTCGACAATTAAGTGGCACTCAATCAGTCCGACTCGCGAAATATGCAAGAAAAGAGTATTGGAAGACGCTTAAGTTAGCTTTAGCGTGCCATTCAGCGCTAACGCTAAAACAGAACGTGGGGCATGCCAACTGGTGCACTTTTAGTACAGTGAAAGACATTCCCGCTAATGCAAATGCAAGCACCTACGGCACCATTTAGTTATCAAAACTTCCCTGAATGAAACCTCAAGTGTGCCACTGAATCATGTTGGCTCGAAGTCCACCGTTGCTGCGTCTCCGTGCCACGTTTGGTTCAGTGTTCCAGTCTGATGACCCAGAACGTATCGTTTTTTTTTTGTGCATATGCCGTAATAGAGTATAATCCGCAAGACCCCTATTACCTGGCTCAGCTTGACTTGCGGCCGCATTTGCCATACCTCGAAAACAAGCGCATGAGTACAACGTCGCCATCTCTGCGTGGCTACCAAGAATATGAGGAGAACCATGTATAGACAGGTTTATTAAGCCTTCTGCAACCCATATCGACTGTTTATCTCGAAAACGTACCTCTCTCGTCGGCGGTATACAGCTGGTGTAGCCTCATTGCTCAAATATGAAACAAATGTACCCAGTATTTGGGAATGAAGAGATTTACCAATACAGGGTAACGACTATGAAGATTACAAGTGAAAAACTCCCGTTTCATGCAGGCACCGCCATCTTGCCCTACGTACAGGATCTCTTGCGTGCGTTAAACGCTAACGCACGACTCTTGCGTTAGTTCGGGGTATACGTTAACGTTCTGCACATGCTCAGTTTGGAGCACGCAATGCTAACATTAACGCTAACGGTAATTCCTTGCATTTGCTGTTTTCCGCTGTACTAAAACTCGCCAAAATTTTCCCGAACCGACTCACTCGGATTAACACTCATGAAAATTTTATTCACCCGGACTAACTCAGACTCACGTCTCTATCTGAGTCTGAGTGAGCCCGAGTGAGTCGAGTCATGAGGGATTGCTGGCCTACGCCCATCCGCAGTCAAAGAATGAGGCCTCAAAGCAAAACAATTCATTCACGCAATGGCCCATACGGGAGGGCCAGCGCAGCACCCCATTTGCGCTAGCAAGGCACTGAAGTCGGCGATCTGGGACAGCAGCTGCCAGCCATAGCAGTTGGCCACGCCCTTCCTTCGGAAAAGTAAGGGATCAGTCCCCAAGCAGCGCGCGGGCTGCCCCTTTTGAATCCTCACAGGGGCGTCACGCGCACAGCCACTGCGCAGAACGTTCTCCTATTTAGAGATAGCCGGTGCACGTGTTTTCCACACCATATAAATAACAACAAAGATAAATAACAACAAAGAGCTCTTGTATAAAACCATTAGACCAATACTTGAACACGCCTGTTGCTTCTGGGATCCTTGGCAGCAGGAGGACATGGAAAGGATTTGAAGAATACAAAATTTAGCTGGGAGGTTTGTTCATGCCAATTATTCCCGCCACTTTATTCATGCCAATTATTCCCGCCACTTTAGCTTATCAAGTGCAAAAAAAAAAAAGTCTTGTGTGGGAGTCTCTGCAGCCACGTAGGCAATACTTACGGATAAAATTTTTCAACATAGTCTATTTCATTGTAACACTAGCATTAATCGGGATCATTATTTGCATATTTCTAATTACGTATCACCCTGCCTTGATCATGCCTTTAAAATCAAGGAGATAAGATGTAGGACGAACTACTTTAGGGATGACTTTTTTCCCCGAACAATTCGTGAGTGAAATAAGCTGCCTGAAGATATAGCCACCATTATATCCCCTCATGTATTTGCTTCCTCTCTGCAGGATACGTAGCGTCAATAGTCCTAGCTATCCCCTGTGGTGTATTTGCTTTTGTGTTTTGTACTAAATACTTTTGCTGTCGTTGCTTTTTTGTGTAAATGGCTACTTACCGCTGTAACAAAATCAGATACAAAGTACCTGATTTTGTTATGGCTATGCTAGTATTTACCGCCTTACTGTAACACCGATAGGCGCGGGGGGTATTGTAATAAATAAATACACCAAATATGGTAAGCAACCTAAACAGATTTTCCTGTGCGTTTACCACACGTTGTAATCGTGCACTCAAAAGAAGTCAGTAGTGTTAAGGTTACGACAAGCCGCGCTACTGAACTCGTTGGCATTGTTATTTTTTTGCTTTTCGGGTGCATCGTATTTTATTAGATGCGAAGCAGCTCACTGACTCACCTTTGTAATGATGTCCTTCCGTACGAAAGCGCCGTGCGCCGCAGGTGTGTGCCAAGTAAATCACGCCGCTGCTGCGCGCTGACGTCACTCTCTATCTCGCCTGCTGCGTGCTCGCAGTGGCGCCCGCGACTAGAGTGTAGTAGAGTACCGCGGCTCTCTGCTCGTCCGTTCGGACGCAAAACTTGCCGTGACCACCACTCGCTACACCACCGACTCGTCGGTTCACGCGCAATAAAACTCGCTCGCTGTATTTCATGCTGACCGCTTGTGCCCCCACGATCTCCGATGACAGCGCAGCTCTGGCCGACTGGCTCGCCCTACGCCATCTCCTGACGCTGACAACAGCTCGTCGCTGAATGGTGCCCCGTCCTCGGACTTCTGCGACCATGTCCATCTTTTCTATCTTCTCCTTACTTCTGTATGTGACTGTCCATGCACCTCTCTCTCTTCCTGCTCCTCTCTCTATCTCTATACATTTATTTCCTCCCTATCCTTTTTAGCCTTCCTTACCCCCCTCCCCTGGGCAGAACTGTGGAGGAGCCCTCCATTAAGGCAGTAACAGGAAATGTGCTTCTTTCTTCCTTCTACCCTTTCAAAAGTCACTTATGAAACCTGGCGCGCGCCTAACGTATACGTTGAAACATGTCTGTCCGGGTCACCTACAAGGCAGTCATCATTTAAAACACATCTTCCAGCGATCACCGCAGCACCCGCGTTAGCGCCGTTCCACACGTCACACCACCTGCGCTCAACTCTGCTGTTTCGCATCCCATCAGCGTTTCTTTTAAAAAGATGGTCCAAGTTTTTTCTTACCACCATATATGCTGGTGTACTCATTTTGTAGTTTCGCTAATAATAATGGTGAAATGACCTAACGGCCAAGTTGAAAAGTGAGATTCGACTGATGCCCTTGAAACAAGGTATGTGCTGCACAACACCAACGAAGTGGAAGCATTGAGGTGCAGATGTCCGTATAGCTTCAAGCGCACAACTGTCGCCTATCGCCACTACGTATACATCACTGCCCATGAGCCGTCACTATCGGCTTGTGGGAGTCGCTGACGAAGAATCAGATCGTTGTTCTTTCGGTCTCGTCGCATATGGTTGAACCATTGTCGGCTGAAGCAGTAATCTGTGTTTTTTTCTTTTGTTGACTACAATTCGGTTCCGGCTCAGCCACATTCCGAGAATATCGATTCGTGTTTTGTTCCTGTTAATATTCTTGTTCTGGTACGCTTTTCGGTTCGAGTTCAGTTTCGACACCCCGAGAAAAAGAACCAAATTGCATTTATTATAGCTGTCAAACTAGCACAAGCGACGAACAGAGGTCCATGGGCATGATCATCACCCCGCCGTTTGCAGCCACGTGCAGTTTGCCCGAGGTGCCAAATGGCTCGTTCCGGGAGCTGACGACGGAGCGGCCTCTGGATCCGGCGGAGCTGATCGGCCACGGCACCCTGGTGGAGTTGGTGTGCGCCGGAGGCTTCCAAGTTCAGGGACAGCCGGAGCTGCGCTGCTGGCAGGGGGAGTGGACGCCCGGCCTGCTCCCAGAGTGTTTGCCAGGTGCGCTAATGTACATGCTAGTCCAACTTGCTCACGTGTGCACATATGTATGTATGTATGTATGTATGTATGTATGTATGTATGTATGTATGTATGTATGTATGTATGTATGTATGTATGTATGTATGTATGTATGTGCAGTGGCGGCGTGTGCCGCCGGTTAATGAACGACTAGACAACTTGAGTGCCCATCGGAACAAAAGCCCCTTTATTCCAACTTGCGCATGCTTATATACATAAACAACACTGGCGCCACCAGCAGCAGTGCTCGTGGAATCGAAACCAAACAGACCAAAATAAAACACATTTCCTTCCTTAAAAACAGCTATATGGATTAGTGATTTAGTAGTTTAGTGTGTTAGAACATATGCAAAAAACACTGTACAAAAATACAACCTGTACAATGAACGTAACTATTTAGTACTACAAAATCACAGTTTACAAAAGGAATCCACCGCAGTGGATACGTCCGTTTCATTCACTTTAGCACAACTTCTCTTGCTACACCTAGTAGTCATAACGCTCTGGTGGTAGTCTCTTTCTTGGTGGTTGCACCCTGCGTTGTTGTGTGACTGCTCCTGGAGACTTGGCTGACTGCGTCGCAGCAGGCGACCCATGCGCCTGCGCAGCCGAAGGAGATGTGGGTGCCTGCGCAGCCAAAGGAGACGTGGGTGCCTGCGCAGCCAAAGGAGACGTGGGTGCCTGCGCAGCCAAAGGAGACGTAGGTGCCTGCGCAGCGTACTCAGGAGACGTAGGTGCCTGCGCAGCGTACTCAGGAGATGTAGGTGCCTGCGCAGCGTACTCAGGAGACGTAGGTGCCTGCGCAGCGTACGCAGAAGACGTGGGTGCTTGCGCAGCCGAAGGAGCAGCAGCTGAAGTCCTGGTAGTTATCTCTGGGGTGGGGCCCCCGCATGTAGGCAGCGATCCTCCCCCCCCCCTAGCTGTACCGTTTCCTCCCCACGTATAAAGGTCGGTAGAGGCTCGTGGCACCTTTGAGAACTTGGATGCATTCCACGTTTTGCCGTCAGCCAGGTGAAAAGAAGATGGTCCCTTCCTGCTGATCACTTCTCTTGGGTGGCTGAATTCCAGGTCGCCTTTAAATCTAGTTGTGGGTTTCTTCACTCTGACGAAGTCACCAACGTTAACTCTGGTTTCTTTTGCAGCCCTCTGAGCATCCGTGTATCGTTTGCTGCTCTGTTGCTTTTGCTTCACCCACTCACGTAAGCGCCGGAGTTCCGAGTTAGGGTCATCAAAGAAGGTTACCGACGGATGCCCGATGACATCCAGCCGAGTTCTTGGCAGCCGCCCGTGTAGCAGAAGAGCTGGAGCCCTTGCCGTTATAGCATGCGGTGTGCATCGGTAAACACCCAGATACTCTGTTACCACCTGGCGCAAAGGCCGCTGCTCAAGAACCGCCACTTGAATGAAACTTTTTATTATTCTGTTAAAGCGCTCCACTTGGCCGTTTGCTTGTGGATAGTATACGGACGAATGTTTGACCTAGATGCCGCGATCTTGAAGAAATACCTCCAACTCCCGAGATGCAAACTGTGGACCGTTATCGCAAATAATCTCTTCTGGGTAGCCTTCACGCGCGAACACAGCGACTAAGAAGCGTATTACTGTGCTGGTTGTCGTCTCGCTACAGAAATGCACTTCGGGCCATTTGGAATAATAATCTACAAGCGTGATCGCATATCTGCAATCGTAGGGTGCCCTCTCAAAAGGGCCTACCATATCCATGCCGAGTTTGAGCCACGGCTGCTCTGGAAAGGGGACTGGTTGCAAGGGTGTAGCTCGCACCTTGACGCTCTTGTCTGCTTCCTGGCATATGCTACACATCTGGATAGCTAGCTCGACTTGGCGGTCCATGCCCGGCCACCAATACTTTTCTCGCAGCCGCGCTTTTGTTCGCACCACTCCGGGATGCGACTCATGTGCTGCAGCGATTACCTGCTGCGTGAGTGACGTGGGAACCACAAGCCGTTCGCCACGCAAGATAAGATTGTCTACCACAGAAAGATCGTCACGTACTTTTAATAATGGCTGAAGCTCGGCCGATAACGATTTGTGTGCAGGCCACGACGATTGCACATAGATTTTGGTTTGTTGCAATGTGCTATCTTGCAATTGGGACTGCTCAAACTGTTTTCTGGTGATGCAGGAAGGAATTTCGAGAACTGATACAACCTCGTCAAACAGCGTCTCTTCTTCCTGGAAAGACGACGCGGGCAGACGTGAGAGTGCATCCGACACTTGGTTTTGTGACCCCTTGCGGTACTCGACTGTATAGTTGTACCGTAAAAGGTGCTCTGTTCATCGCGCTACCCGCAAGGGGCGCCTTCCTGTTCCTTGGGTTGAAAGCAATACCACCAAGGCTTGGTGATCAGTGAAGCAACGTAAAGTGGCGTCCCCACAAGTACACGTGCCACCGCTCGCACGCCCAAACACAGGCTAACGCTTCCCGTTCTCCTACCGAATATTTCCTCTCAGCTGGCGAAATGGACTCGAGACGCGAAAGCTGACAGTGTGCAGTTTATGTCCATCCACCTGCTGTAGGACCGCTCCTAACTCCACACTCTGACTGCGTACGTCGACACTAAGACTAGGAAGAGATTCATCGAACATTCTCAGTATAGTGCTAGATGCCAGCGCGTCTTTGGTCTTTCTGAAACTAGCGTCTATCTCTTCAGACCAAACTAATCGCTGCCCCTTTCTTAGTAGGACACGCATTGTTTCAACCATGTCAGCGAAATTGAGAATAAACCTAGAATATACTAGACCAATCCCAGAAATGATCGAAGGCTGGTTGGATCCGTAGGCGCTGGAGTGTCTCGGATGGAAGCAACCTTTTCCTTCAACGGCACAATACCGCTTGCGGTGATCCTGTGGCCCAAGAACGCAAGCTCCGGCGTATCGATGACGCATTTCGTGTTCAATTTGAGTCCTGCCTCTTTTATGCACCTAAGCACTGCGGTAAGATTCGCCATGTGCTCCTCTCTGCCCTTCCCAAACACAATGATGTCATCGATATAGAACAGAACGCTGCTGCAGCCCTGCAGAATTTTCGACATCATACTCTGAAAAGCAGATGGTGCCGACGCGAGCCCAAAACACACGCGCTTGAAACGAAAGAGGCCGTCGTGTGTTATAAAAGCCGTTAAATCGCGGCTCTCGGGGTGAAGCATGACCTGATGGTACGCTGATGCAAGGTCAAGCTTGGAAAAGTGGGTTGCCCCCACTAGACTATGCAATAGCTCTTCTGTATGAGGGAGGGGAAAACTATCTGCTACGACGGCTTTGTTTACCTGTCGAAGATATACACAAAGGCGGATACCTCCATCTTTCTTTTCAACCACCACAATGGGGGACACCCACTCGGATGCCTCTATTCGCTCTATCACGTCCATTTTTTCCAAGCGGCGCAGTTCTTCCGAGACTCGTGGCCGCAGTGAGAGCGGAAGGCGCCTGAGTTTTGAAGCAACTGGCTGAACTGTCGACCGTGTTTTGACGCGATGAACAAAACCCTTTGCGATGCCAAGTCCTGGATCGAAAATAGCACCAAACTCTTCGACTAATTCTGGTGGAAGGTGAATGGACTCCTCCGCCCCTGTCTTCACTGTGGTGTGCTCCATTCGAGCGCTAGTACGCACCGCTGTCGTTTCAAAGCACTGTAGTGACGACCCATCAATCTGCAGACTGAGCGCCATAATTGCATCAATACCCAAAAGCGAGGTGCCTTGTTCAACGACATAAAAAAGAAGCTTTGTTGTGCAGTTATTGTACGTGGCATCAGCAAAGAAGCAACCGCACACTGGAATGGGTTTCTTCGAATAGTCCAGTAGCCTAATTCGAGCAGCGGAAAGCTGCTGACCTTCAAAATGCTGCCTAAATAGGTCATGCGTCAAAATCGATACTGATGACCCTGAATCCACGAGGTTAAGTTAACTTCGTTTCACCAACTACTACCGATACGTAGATTGCGGGACGAGTGGATGTCGTCACGGCAAGAATGCTCAATACTTCTTCAGTTATCGAACTTTCGTCGTCTAGTTCACGAACAGGAGCAGCGTTTCTGTTGCAGACCGAGCGAAAATGACCCATAATACCGCAACCATGACACCGCTTGTCTTTGGCGGGGCAGCGGAATGAAGATGTGTTGTGCCGAGGTGAACCGCAGTTGTAACGCTGGCCCTGTTGGCTTCGCGACCGCTTCGAGGGGTCGCTGGCAGAAGATGCGGGCGGAGGGGTGTTTTCGCGAGCATTTATGCTCTGGACATCTGCAGTAGCAAATTATTTGCAATAATTGGTTGCCTGCTCAAACTGCGTCGCTATTAGTACAGCTCGAGCGAACGAAAGAGAAGACCCTTCAAGCAGCAACCGCTCGCGCAAGTTCCGAGATAATATGCTCGCAACGAACTGGTCACGCAAGGAATCTTCCAGAGAAGGAAAAGAGCACGTAGCAGAAAGCTCACGTAACGTAGTAATGTACTCATTGATTGCTTCACCAACTTGCTGCACGCGCCTACCGAACCGGTGCCGTTCGACCACAACATTTGTTGTTGTCGTGAAGTGCGCATGCAGCGCTGCGACAGCGGTATCGTACGACGACGCTTCATGCTGTATCTGAGAACTGTACTTGACATCTTCTGAATGCGTATCAGTAGTTGGCTCACCGGACTTTGCGTTGACCGAAGACTGAAGTGGTAGTGTGTGAAATATGCGCTGACCTTCTACGCCGAGGCTGTGGATTAGGAGAGCCTTGCGACGGTCCGGCGCACAGTCCGAAACACCAGATGCGAGCAGAAAATTCTCGAAGATGCGGATCCATTGCGGCCAGGCAATAGCAGGGCGGCCAGGCGTGGGCAGGAACGGGGGTGGTGGTGCCAGTCCGGAAAAACTCATGGCGCGGGAAAGAGTCGGCAAAAATGACGAAAATCACACCCCTCCTAGATTAGATTTGTGGGGTTTAACGTCCCAAAACCACCATTTGAATATGA